CGAACTGGACCCCTAAATGAAGGGCTTTTTAGGGATGACCCTAATGACGGAGTTGAAAGCGTTTCGGCTTTAGGGGTGTCCCCTTCATAAAGGGCCTTAAAGGGTTAGGGTTTAGGCATCCATAGGATTTAGGGATGTGCTCCTAAATGAAGGACGCTTAGAGGTTGAGGTTTTAGGGATGGACCCCTTAATGAAGGACTCTTAGGGCCTTGAGTTTTGGGATATACCCCTTAGCGAAGGGCTGTTAGGGTTTAGGGTTCAGGGACGGACCCCTTAATGAAGGACTTCAAAGGGTTCAGGCCTTCAGGGTTTGGCCCTCGGCGTCTTTTGCTCCCGGCAGTTACAATAGGCCGGGATGCAAAAACAAGGGTTTAGGGTATAGGGATGTACCCCTTAATGAAGGACTCCTTAGATTTAGGGATGGGCCCCTTAGTGAAGGACGTTAAAGGGTTTAGGAGTTTAGGGTCCAGGCGTTGCGGCCTTTGCAGATGTACAGTCAGTTAGGCTCTTTAACTTTAGGGTTGTTTTGGGGTCAGGGATGGAGCCCTTCATGATAGACTCAGGGATGGGCACCTGAATGAAGGATGGCGGGGTTTGGGGGCATTCTTTAAGGTTTTCGTGAGGCTCCCCCTTGTTTAAGGAAGACAAGTATTCATCGCAGCCTTAGTCGTGGCATATACCAGCCCTAGAAAGCCTAAGATACGTCCGTTAATTAAGGCGGCATTGGGCTTTGTGATTTGCGGGCAACTACTGCCCAGTGGGACATGACCCACGGCCTTTTCCAGCAGCTCTTAGGGGGTGTCTAGCGGAACGATGCGTGGTATGACTTTTTCTATGTCATTATGATGTTATCTTATATGACATGATATGAAATTATGTTATGTGATAGGGTATTATCTTATGTTCCGGAAATTATAATTAAAAGGCTTACGAAACCGCAAGTTTTCAGTACGGCAGGAGCACTGAGAGCATCCCCAAAGGCCTCCGAAGCAGAGTGGAGGGTCCTCCTTCGTCTGCAGGTGCAATGTATGTTTCTGCACGCAGTTTCCCTGTATACTGTATACATACTGGCTGACATATTCGGGGCTAAGAGAGGGGAGAGAGAGCTAGAGATACAATACTAAATACCTTCATAAATTACATAAATATAAATATAAATAAATAAATAAATGAATGTATGTATATATAGATAGATAGATAGATAGATAGATAGATAGATATGCAGGAAGCGCCACTTGCATAGGGGGCAGGTGTCCATCTTTGCACTCTCTCGCAGTGTCCGCTGAAACTTGTGTGGATCTAGAGCAGCCGGGGTTGAACAAGTCCAACGGGAACACGGACGCAAGGGTTCCCCGGCAATCCGGTTTAGGACCTCGAGTTTTCAGGTGGATTTCCTGGCCGGGCGAGGGCCTATCACCCAATGACGAAAGAAGAACCTCTCACCGGGAGAAAGACTGTACAGAGTGGGCCGTCAGCTGAGATGAACCACATCCCGATCAATTCCTTGCCCTCCATAGACTAGGCATTGAAATTCCCGCACGTGGCAGCTCTTGGGCCACAAAGCCAGGAAGCCTTGCATGCGCTGGTACAGTCATCGTCAGAAACGATTTAAGCTTCGCTCCTTTTCCGGGCCTTCCCTAGCAGCTTCGGACTTAGGATTCAGTTCCCCACCGTTCATCGCCACCAGGCATCCTGTAGCGCTTGTGCCGTGTTCGAGGCCTTTCATGAAGAAGCCCTGGCGCTCCTATAAAAGGGGCAGGTCTTGCTACGAGCCCTTGTTCGGTTCATTTAGCGCTTGCTGCATGTGGCTACCAGAAGACACTGCTAAAAATCTTGTAAGAAGGGAAAGCGAAGCTCCAAATGCCAAACCCTTCAGCCGGTCGATGGCCCGTGGTTCCAGCATCCAGGCCTGCTTGAATTCCGATCTTAGCATGCAGCAAAGGCTGGAAAATGATGTGTTGCAGCAGTTTGAAGTTGAGGGTTTAGGTGTCAAAAGGGCTTAGGCGTCAGGATTTTCGAACGCGGGACTTTGCATATGTACGATGTATATTCAAATTGCCCGCAGGTGCTACGCATGTTTCCGAAATCCTTGTATGTGATTGCACGATTTTTCCGCCACTCAAGGTACTAGCTTTTCTTACATCTCCATGTCTGTTCGAATCTGTTTTGTTTGTCATCGGGCCGCGAGGATCTTAAGACCCGAAACGCTTGCCCGAGCGTGAGCGCCGAAACCGCAAGCGTTCCAAGTTCCATCCCAAACGCAGCTCGTTTTTGTAAGACTTGCGACAGCTCCCGAGGCCCAACATCCCAGTCCCTTGTTGAAAAGCCTGAACCCTAGACTACCATGCGACCGCTCGCGCATCCGTTTCCGTCATCCGCCTTCGCCACAGCCCAGCTGGGGTCTACAAGAAGTCTGGGCCTCAGAAAGATATTGTGGTTTCTAATCGAGGGGGTGCCTTTCTCAGAGGTTCCTGTCTTGTGGTCTTCTGGCACTTATAATTGTAAGGTTGCTGCTATCTGGGTTCATATTAGGAGAACCCTAGTAGTGATTTCCGGAGGTTAGAATTAAGCGCGGGAACCCGTGGTCTGCGATACACAGGGTCTTAAGAGTCTGGGCTTCTGGGATGCAGATCTGGAGCATCTGGATACGTTTGGTTTAGGGTTTCTCTCCCACAGGGTATCAGATTAAGCATCTCGCGTTCAGGGCTTGGTTGCGGGTTTAAGAGCTATGAGCTTTAGGGCCCCCAAACTTAGGATCCAGCTGCTGAGGTGCAGGGCCTTCCAGGGGCTCTGTTTTGAAGATGTAGGTGTTAAGGATTAGGCCCGGGAACCAGGTTGCTTTTTTGGGCGGTAACAATCGGGAGACAACCAAGCTGCGGATGCTCTGGCCAACAAGGGGGCTGATGGATGTACGCTCGAGCAATTTGACTGGGAAGCTGCGTCCACTTTGCTCCAGCAGTCCTTCACAGTGCTTGTTACGTTTGATGGTGCTGCTCGCGACAACCCTGTGGGTCATGCTGGCGCTGGCACGGCCTTGTGGCTGTCTATACCTGACCCTGCTCTTGGTGTCCTTTCCTGGACGTGCGTTGCTCAGGCTTCTGCGGTGTTGCCTCTAACAATGCTGCTGAGCTCCATGGCCTCCTGCTGGCGCTGCTCCTGCTCGCGAAGCTGCTCACATGGACAGTTGATGTGAGGTGACTGGTATTACTGAGACCCTCGGTCTCCCGTCGCACCAGCTAACTGTTTGCGCCTGTCTCCAAGAGGCGTGGCCATCAGTGTGTGCTATGCGGGCTGGGTTTCGAGGATTTTGCTAGTAGTGCCCTGACCTGCCGAGTGCGGGCGTCGGAGAGGGTTGGAAAAAAATCGGGAGACAAGGCTCAGCAAAAGAGGTTTCGAGTTCAGACCACGGGTCAGAGGCTGAATAATGAATTAGGCTGCTGAACATAGCAGAAAATGCCACAGCCGAATGCAGTACACAATGCTGCAATGCAACATACAGCTATCTAAGAATTTCATATAATATGAAACTAGTCTTTTCTTGCCTCTGAGGTGCGCTGAAGTGGCGATGGGTGCAGGGGCCGGGTCCCCAGCTGTCTTGCCTGTAGCAGGATAAAAAGGTGCGAGCTTGACTGCTACTGCCGACCATTTTCTCAAGGGCCACAATAAGCTCTTAGAGGTCACACTGGGCTTTGCAGATCTCTCTGAAGCATTAGCATAATTCATCGTTCCTTCTTCCAACCAGCTTAATAACAGCAGCCTGGACCCTTCTTAGCCCGTAACACAATGCTCCAGGAGACCCATCTCTTCAACATTTTGTTGGGTTGTTGGAGGTGGTTCTAGTGGCTCACAAAGTAGTCTCAAGGGCCACACACAAGAAGCCGCACTGAAACTTGGAACAACTGCGAAAGGTGCTGCAAGGGCATCCTTGCACAAATCCATGCACGCAAAGACGCCCTGGATCCGAAGCATTCTAAGACCCGATTTGGCCTAAAGCTTGACACCACCGAATGTCCTGATCTTTCATTTCAGGCCAGCGCAACTGCTTCGGCTGAGGTGGCCTTGCCGGGGTCCAGTTTCCCGGAAACCCTAAGAGAAAAACCACGGAAGCAACGCCTTGGCCGGTAGTCGGGCGGAGCTCTGGCAGGGGTGTAACTCTGCTACCCTAGCCCTAACCCTTTCGTCTGCCACAGTCCGAGATGCGAGAGCATAAACCTTGACCTATCATCTGCACCGAGAGAGGGAGGGAAGCAGCGGCAGCCATCACGAGGTCACGATATCTGGACCACGCATTGTTACGCCGAATTTCGGGTTTCTGGCGTGGTCCAGATCCAGCCCAGCAGTTGGGAAGCTTGATTGTCACTCGACGAGCTCAATGTAGTTCTCGTGCCAACCTCGCCCAAAATGTCCGAGCTGCGACAGTCTGAATATAAACCATGCCAAGCCCTCAACCTTGAACCTTCAACCCTAGAAGCTCTGCCGGCACGCATGTACCTGAAGATGCCGCCAGGCTGACCCAGCCGTGACCGAGGCAACCTTAAGTGCAAGACTTCGGGGTGTGAGGGGTAGTTATTCAGGTTTGAGGTAATGCCTTAGTACCTTGAGGATTGACCTACTATACCATGGCTGCATCCACGTCAAGCATTTGGCACGCCTCAGCCAGCTCCGGTTCATGTTTTGTCAAGCAGCCCTAAGCCGTTCTACCATGGCCCGGGTATGTCTCACGAGGCCCTCAACCGCGGAGAGCTGTCGAAGTACTTCCTCGCCGAGTACTTACAAGGCGCGATCCTTACTGCTGACGTACGTGTACGTGTTAGGATAGTCTGCAGGACGTTTTTCCTGTGCAGTTTACGGACGCACGAGGGCGGGTAGTCAGGATTGCCCCCAGATTGGCGGATGCGTTCGTCAACAGCTGCAGAGGCTATCTGAAAACCGCAAGATGGCTCTGTAAACATGCATGAAGCCAAGGTAAACTCTATGCAGGGTCGCAATACTCAGAGGGCATGTTGGACGACTTGCGGACCTTCGACTACCCAGCCCAAGATGACGACGGGGAGGATGAGGAGGATGATGACAATGGCGACAATGAGGATGATAATAATATCGGCAGTCGTGATGACGACCAGGGCGATGTCCAAGACGACGAGGATGACGAGGAGGAGGAGGACAATGACCATGTTGGCGACGAAGAGGGAGAGGATGAGGAGAACGACGAGATTGACGGCTTAGTGAGTGTGTGGCGGCATGCATTGGACTTGCGCGATGTTCAAGGAGGGTCTTGCCAACAGGACTTTTGTGTTCTTTATCACTACACCCACGAGCTGGCCTTCCGCAATGTGGCCAACAAGAAGCAGACGACAGCAGAGCTATTCGCTTCCTTGCTGGACTCGCGCGCCCACTTCGGGAAAGGCGTTTACTGCACGCAGTATGAGCCAGCTGCTCTTTGGCGAATATGGTTCAATCTCGACATGACCATCTAGCCATCTAGCCAGCATGTGAAAGGACAGCGAGTAGGAGTAAAGTCACGCACACCCTGTCCTGCCTGATTCATGCTCAGCAACGGCCAGCTTCCTGCCGCTAGGCATGTCGGTCATAACTGCTGCAAGGTATGGGGCTCCCGCACTCGTATTTTGCTGAACAACTACAGCAATTCGAGCCCTTTGCGTCCGGGCCCGGGTCGTCGATGCGTTTTTGCCGGACTTGCTTGTTTTGGCCACTGCTGTGCTATTTGTGATGAAACTGAGGCGACACAACAGACGCGGAGTCTCAGCGAGTGGAGAAGGAATGGGGTACCGGCAATGCTGAAGGCCATCGTGCAGCCTTCTGTATTCCGATTCTAGTCCCAATGGAGCTCGCATACAATATCTTTGAAAGGCAGACGTGCCACGGCCAGCAGATGAAGTTGTCGCAATTTTTTGGTGTGGTGCTGCATACCCACTAGTGGATCGAGTAGAGTATCAGAATCAGCTATTTCTGCCGTGAGGCCAGACCTCGCGCAGAAGAGCGTGCGCGACGCCGAAACAGGAGAGGAGCGCGGGATCCGGCTGGGCGAGGACTACAAAGGGCGGCCTGTGGACCGCAACCGGGATGTCTGGGTTCTGCAGCTGACGAACGAAGCTGGAGAGGTGCAACATGCCGGCGCCGAAGCAGATGGTCTGCTGAGGCTGCTAAGGACTCGCCTGTCCAATCTCCGCGAAGAGCTGGGAGACGACGCAGAGCCGACCCTGGACTGCATGCAGGAGCTTGGGAGTAGGCTGCAGAACCGCGCCTACTATGATGAAGCAGAGAAGCTTTACAAGGAATGTTTGGACCGCCGCCGGGGCCTCAGTGCATGCATCTACACTATTGCCCGAATCAGTGCGACTGTACCCTTCCCTCAACTTTCCAGGATACTGGCATAGATGTGGGATACTGGCATAGATGTGGCAAGCTCCCTTGGGCTGGCATTTTGCAAGAATTCTTGCGACAGCGGCAACAGCGATTGTCGGTTGTTGGAAGGATTGAACACGCATATAAGTCCAAAGTCTCTATACTGTGAAGTCCGCAGTTGAACGCGCGGCCTGCAACTTGCAGCGCCGGCTTCCACGCAAGTGTCCATAGAGATCAGCATGCGCTCCCTTCCATGCTGTCTTTTTGTTGCTTGTCTATGCCGTATGCACAGAATGACCGAGGTTTGTTGGTGTATGATCAGGATCATGCAGCACATTGAAACTTGTTGCTTGATGTCGCACGCTAGTTCAGCATATCGAAATGCGGGGTGCAGTGCATCTGTGACATATTTGCCCATGCGTGATGCGCCTAATAACCTAATGTGTGTCGATACCATGCAAAAGCTTGCTTGCCACGGCAACAGCCATCTAATGTTGTCTCACTCCGCAGTGTTGCTGGCAGTGCGCCTTGTGGGTCATGTTGATGTGCTTCTGAAAGCGCCTGTTCCTGTGCAATATGATACCGCATGCTGAAGTGCTGTCTTGTTGCCAGTCATCGTACCTATGCAGTTTCTTCCGCATCGCAAAAGCATGGGCTTCTAATAGCTTCACCCCAGATGCACCCACGCGTTGTTTTCAAAGAATTACATAAGATCCAAACTCGCGTACCGAAATGATTTTTTCTCGCCAAACGATTCTCGCGACCTCTCGCGAAGGAATCCATTATTCAGCAAGACCTACTCAGAAGTCCGGTCCGCTGACCGCAAGTCCACGAGGGTTGCTGCACTTGCACTATTTCTGTTCAGGCGAACTCTCAATCGTAAGAAGTCCTGGAACACTCAAGTAGAAAATGTTGGGGCGTATGTTGTCAGGAAGCCGAGACAGATCGAGGCACCCATTGCATCATTGCCACTGCGTCAACAATAGGCCGGAAAGCCCGACTTAGGAGAATAGAACGATCGTAGCTTCGGGCTGCTGCCAACAGCTCGAAAGCGTTCCCGATGGGTAAATCATCTCAGCGAAAGCTTATCTCATTCAAAAGGCCTCGGCCAAATGCTACAGTGTCCCATTGGTCAGGAAACACTCAGCAGCCAGCCCCATGCCGCCGACAGATGGTGTTTAGGAAGTAGGTTGTTGTCTGAGACGAGCAGACTTCGATTGGCCGTGGTATCATGCCAACATGTGGCAGGTTTCCCTCGGTTTTGTTTGAGAGTGAGAGTATCCCGAGGCAGGGCCAAACTCGGCGAAAGACACCAAGATACCCTGGACTCGATGAGTGATCTTGCGAGGCTTCTGGAGGACCAAGGGCAAAGCAATCGAGACTAGACACAAAGGCTAAGTTGTCCAGCCCTGGCTGCGCTGTGCTTCTAACCCTAAAAGCTGCAGGAACAGGGACGCTATCAGGAGGCCGAGGTGCTGGCCCGCAAGGAATTGGAGGCCTGCCGCCGCCCCAGCTGGCTTTGAAGCATCTGCAATGGATTCGGCCAGTTGTTGCAGTATCCAGGTTTCAGTCACGAATAACTTAAGGGTTCAGGTACTTCGTTGATGCAGCAGCGTAGCACCGCAAGCAAAAACATGACTCCGCAGTCTTTGGTTATTGGCTTTCGAGCGGGCTCCCAGACCAGCTGTGCAGTGCGTATTGGGTTTAGTGTTGCGTTTCAGCTGCTTGGGGATCTGCGGGGGCTTTGAACTGCGGCATTCTGATAAAAGCTGCAAGGGGTCCCAGTGCAAAACTTGAGTACCGCCTAATCACTTAATCGCATGCGCCTTATATGTGCAGGTAGCATGAAGAAACTATTCATGTACGAAGTCTTACCTTGAGATCCCGAGGCCGTGCCAAGCTCGGCAAGCATCATCCAAGCACACTGACCTCGATGAACAACTTGGCTATGGTGCTGGAGGCACGAGTTAGTTACCGTAAGGGTTTCGGGCCTGCGGAAATGCGGGCGCGGGAGGCTTTGGGCTTGGGACTCTCTGTGCACTCTAGTTACTCCTAGTTACTCTGGGTTTAGAAGAGGCCGTCCTAAGACAGATTGGGGCATGCCTGAGGGGGAATAACTTGACAAAACGCTGAAGTAAATCCGGATGATTTCGACTCGCAAAAAGTCAACCATAAGAGTCAAGCAACAAGAACGCGACCATCCGGGCGCCGTAAGCTCCAAGGCAGAAAAGTGGCAAAAGAAGGGCAATCAGAACGGGCGACCCTCTGGAAGCCGTGGTCCAAAGGCAGACAAGTAGCCAGTCCCCAGGAAAAATGCAAAATCAATCAACACAAAGGCAAAGAAACGACAAAAGTGAAGCAACAAGATGTAACAAGAGCGCGATCCTCCGCGCGCCGCGCGCCCGGGTCCACAAGCCTGAGAATTAACTATGCCTTGGGCGGGCAAACGCACAGAAAGCCAATAAAACGCGAATACAAGGTAACAGGAAGGAAAAAGAATGCGAGCATAATGCGAGTCTCCTTGCGGCGATGCTTGCCACAAACGCACACGTGATAGGCACAGGGACAGTACGAGGAGGCCGAATCGCTCCACCGCGAAGAGCTGGAGTGTTGTTGCCACCTCAGATTTGACTTGGACATGTCGTGGCCGTGAACGAACTTCAAGAGCACAGCTGCAGTGAGAGAAACTACAGCGGGAGTTGGGAAGGATCTGGTGCATTGTCAGCATGTCCAGGCGTAGTCTATGTCTAACTCAGGGAGCATGTCGTGGCAAATTCCACTTGCGTACCACTTGCGTTAGGAACTATTGCTTGGCGTTTTGCATAGAGTCCATGCTGCACGTGGAGGTGCAGTTTATGAGTGTGATGGTTTGACCATTTGCTCTTCATGCTGTTTGGCTTTGTTTGGTCGCGTGGGTTGGTGGTTGGCCGTTTCTGGCCAGGTTTGTGTTATTCAAATTCATGCTGGCAAATGTGGAAGCACGGGTTCGCAGCTGTGACTCTTGATGTTTTGGCCGAGCTGCGGCTTTACTCCCTTGAGCCGCATTGCTGATACGTTATGCAAATGAACGTAGTCCAGCTTTTGACTACATTCGTGCATGTTTGTCTATGAAGGGTTTCTGTGGTATGATCATGTATGATCCGTGAGGACCGTGCGCGTGGGTGTCGCATGCAATATTCAGCTGCATCCAGTTCCCTACATGTAGAATCCGTGAACGCTGCGCAAGCCCAACAGCCCAGCGCGCTCGCCACAGGGCATGCCCAACTTGGTGAGCACAAGCTTTCAAGCACGAAATTGTGTACTTGCACGGGGCTCTTGAGCCGATTAAATTAGTACGCCGATGATCGGCCTTCGCATAACATGATGGCTGAGCGAAGTGCAGATTGCATGTGGTGTTTCTCTGAGCGGAGTCTGTTTCAACTGTTCTCGAGGCCGGGCCAAGCTTGGCGAGATGCACCCGGAGACTCTGACATCGATGAACAATTTGGGGCATGTGCTGGAGGCGCTGGCGGGAGCGTTGGGCGAGCCTCCGAGCGGAAGGAACGAAACAAACTACACCGATTCGGCTTGAGCAGCAGTACAAGTCATGCTTCGGGGGAGTCGGGCAAGCTCTATCAGACACGTACAGAGATGCCAGATGTGGACGCTCACCTTTCTAACTTTGCCGCATGGTATGCCTAGTTCTAGAGCAGTGCGTGTGCACCTCCATCGGAACCCCACGCTTCAACAACAACAGGAACAAGGACGCTACGAGGAAGCCGAGCAGCTGCTCCGTAAGGCATTGGAAGGCCGCCGTCGTCTCAGCTGGCTTTGAAGCATCCGCAGTGGATGCAGTCAGTCGTTTGACAAAGGAACTTGCGGCATCTAGTCCTCAAGCGGGAGCTCAGATTGACCCGCAAGATTTATGTCGTGCATAACAGACCCAGGTTAGTTGTGCGACAACATGTGTTCTGTTCCGCGTGGTGTTTCATTTTGTTCGTGGTCTTCAGGGGCTGATGTGAAGTGTAGCATTCCCGCGGCTGGACTTGGTTTTACCGCTATCGAAGTACACACGGGACTTTCAGAGTGTAGGGGTCCTAACTCAAGAACAACATGAAGTTTGAAGCCCCTCACGCATACAAACTTGCCCTGAGATCCCGAGGCCGTGCCAAGCTCGGCAAGACACATCCAGAGACACTGGACTCGATGACCAATTTGGCAGTGGTGCTGGAGGCGAGACTTAGGGTTTCGGGCCTGCGCCTCTGGGGAAGATGTGGGGGGATTTGGGACCCTGTGCGCTAATCTATAAACTATTTGCTGTAGCCTATAGCTACTTTCACATTCCAAGCTGATCAATTCCTTGGCGCATTCACATCCCCATAGCTAACGACAGGACCAGGGACTTTACGAGGAGGCCGAAGGGCTCTACCGCGAAGACCTGGAGTGTTGCCGCCACCTCAGAGAATGTGTGACATATAGAGTCTGCATGAACGCGGGCGTGCTCTTTCTGCTGAGTGGCTTTGCCGCGTGGGCTGCGCACACGCGCGCGCGCGCATGCACGCA